TCCACTTTTTATCTAAAGTTTAGGTTTTTATACATTTTAGATTGATTTGATTTGAAAATAATGAGTTCAGTTTTGTTGGTATTAAGTCTTAGTTTGTTAGAACACGACCATTGTTAATTTTTTTTAATCATTTATTTGTTATGAGTAAGTTGGTGTCGTCAGCAAAATGGTTAGCCGTTGAAAATTTTAGGGAGATATTACAATTATTTATTCAAATAAGGAAAAGCAATGGTCCTAATACAGAACCTTGGGGTACACCTGTGAAGCATTTTATTGGAAAAGATTGGCATCATTGATAGAGAAAATTTGCTGATTTATTAAAAAAATATGATAAAAACCATCGGAGAGCATTACCTCCAACACTGTAGTGTTCCAATTTACTTAGGAGGATGGAGCAATCAACAGAATCAAAGGCTTTCTCTAAATCAAGAAACACTCCACATGCAAAAAAGTTTGTTGTCAAGAGCATTTCTAATAGTTTCAGTTGTTTTAATAAGGGCATGAGTTGTGGAGTTTTGTTACGAAATCCATACTGATGTTTGTAAAGACATTGATTTTTGTCAAGAAAGCTATAAAGTCTGTTGTACATAGCTTTTTCAAATATTTTACTGTTAGATAGAAAAGAAACGGTTTATAATTTCTGTGTTCCATTAGAGAACCCATTTTATGGGTAGGAATAACTTTGGCTATCTTAAAAACATCTGGAAAAAGACCTTTATTAAAAGAATTATTCAATATGGTAAAGAGAGGCTTGCAGATAACATGAGAAGTAAGTTTGAGAAAGTGTGTGTGGGGATACTATTTGTTCCTAAACTTTTACCATTTTGTAAACTATTTTTTATTAAATCAGACACCTCATTTTCAGTCACTGGATTAAGAAAGAAAGAATTAGAATTAGGATTTTTTAAATAGTCACAGAAGATACTTTTAGAAGAAATCATTTTACTTTTGGGTGAGTGTTGTATTGTTTCATAGTATTTGTTTAAAATTTTAGCAACAACCATACTGTCTGAGATAGTGTTACCATTAGACTTGAGAATGTAAGACTTAATTGTTGTAGAGGGTTTGATGATAAGAATTTCTTTTAATTTTTTGCAAATTTTAGTTTTTCTGGATATTCAATGTTTTGAATATCCAGAAAAACAAGACTCTGATAAGCACTTGTTAAATAGGTTTGAAAGGATAGACGACAGCTCCGGAGAACACTTCTGCAAGACTATAACAAGTATGTTGTCCGGGCCGCAAGCTGTAGAAGAGTCTAAGCGGGAAATCACTTTAGATACAGAAGCTGGAGTGGTACGAATGTCGAGCAATGGATCAACCTGTTTGACAGCTATATCAGGTAGAACGCAACTAGTGGCATCAAGAGATGATATTGATAAAAAGTTCTTGGCAAACAATTCAGCTTTGTCTTTAGGTGAGGTGACAAAGTCTGAACCATACAAAAGAGGTGGAATTACAGACTTGCCCTTATTATTGATACTATTAAAGATTCTCCAGAAGTCACGAGAGCCTAATTTTAGTGATGAAATACGATATTTCATGATCTGAGAATAGCAGGCTTTGGCATTAGACAAAACTTTTTTATAATGGTTCCTAGCAGTAATAAACAGACGTATGTTTTCTGGAGAATTGTTTAGCTGATAGATATGGAAGTAATGGTTTCGATTGGCAATTGCAGCAGCACAATGTGAGGAAAACCATGGAGAAGAGTGAGGCTTGACCTAGAATCATCGAGAGGGAATAAAGGATTCCATGCCAGCCTGAATCCACGAAGTTATGTAAGAAGCACATTTGTCAACAGGGAGACAAAAGATTTCTACCCAAGGGCTATCACAAAGTAAATCACAGAAAGAGTCCCAGTCAGCTTTAAGGTAGTTGTAAGATGTACAATGATAGGGGGATTCTGATGGTAAAGAAGAATGAGATAATAATTTTAGAGCGACCAAACCATGATCAGACGCACCTTAGGGTGAGTGTGAAGAAACTAAGTACTGACTAGGATCAGAAACAAGACAAAAGTTGAGTAGAGAAGGTAAATGATTCGAGTTGTCTGGAAAGCGAGTTAGAAAGTTGACTATTTGAGTTAGGGATTGAGAAAGATAAAAGTTGTGGGCCTTAATGCCTGCAGAGTCACTGACACTAGAGCAAAGCCATTCAGTGTGATGAACATCAAAGTCACCAACAACAACAATATTGGCTGATGGATAAAGAATGAGGGTTTGGTCAATATAATCAGAAATAACATCAAGAAGAGTGCAGTCTTGAGATGAGGGAGAGCGATATAGAACAAAGAGAAAGGTGATAGAGTAAAGTGGTGCTAAAAGAAAGCACATAAAAAAGTAATCTGTGGATTCAAACCTAGTTTCCTAGAAACATAGATAGTACTCAGTACACTGTTTTATAGCCCAAGCAATTGCCTCATTTTCACTAATAAACCCTAAGCCGTAACAAAGGGCTCCAATGTGGCCTTGGCAATGCACACCAAAAGTACAAATAGGGACACCATCCATGCGCAACATGGCACTGTTAGTACTCTGATATTTTTTAGCTGTTGATGGAATCAGCCTCTCTGAGAGCTACCACAGAGTTCAGGAAACCTGACTACCAGCTGGCCTCAGAACCATAAAACTGAGTTTTAGAGCTGTACCCTCATTTGGAGATAATAAAATGAGTTGCCTAGTCATAAAAACTGAGACAAAAGCAAAACCCATGAATTGATTCAAGAAGATCCAGCATTCAACATTCTAAACTCGAAACAATGTATTAAAAATACATCTGCGCTAGCCTAATAGATAAAGAAGGGGTGTGAGGCTGGTCAACAAATAGACTCTGTTTACCCCTTAAGTCTTTGCCTAGGAGGCCTTCTACAAGACAGCAGCCGGATGCATGTAACATCTGCCCAAGATGAGTATTTTTATCAAAACACCATCTCCAGCCTTTACTCAACCAAGAGCCCCAAGGCAGGGGGTGTTTTATGTCGAAGTTTGCATCTCCTAGCCTTTGCCTAAAAAGCAGCAGGCTATTTCAGTATGACGTCAGATTGCTTACCTTAGTATGCAATACTATTCGTATATATATATATATAAATATATATATATATATATATATATATATATATATATATATATATATATATATATATATATATATATATACTCATTTTTGGTTGTTTTTAAGTTTAACTGATAGGATAGACAGTGACTGGTTTATAATGCGCTCGCGGTTTCAAATGAAAACCTAATGCATTAGTAACATTTTATTAAACCTTTTTAGGTATATAAATTAAAAAAATATATATTTAATAAACATTAATATATATAAAAAATATATATATATATTAAACAAGGTTTTAACCAAATGGTTTAAACCATGGTTTAAACCAATTAAAAAAAATGTTGGTTTAAACCAAACTAATGTCTTTTTAAAAAGATTTAAACTTACAACAGGAAACTAAGGCAGGGTTATGCTCACAAATATAACTAATCTTCAATATAGATATATTTTTTTAAATCCATGATTTTTGTTTTTGTTTTTTTTTTTAAATTTATCAATATATTTTTTTAAAAAATTAATCAATATGCTTCGTCCACGATACCCTCTACCTAATAGAACTGAAATTGGAGGAGAATTATTAGATAGGGTTTACACAGAAGAAATTGAAAAATGTAATATATTGAATGGAAAAATTATAGTCATGTCTTTAGATGGCTGAAGTAATGTACATATTGAACCTATAGTTTGTATCTCTGTAATTACAGATAAAATTAACATTTTATTAGAAACAATCAACACTTCAAGTCATACTGGTGATATCTTACACAATTAGCAAGAGAAGCAATAGATTTTGTAAGGCGTAAATTTGGGTGCACAGTAAAAAGCTTTGTGACTGACAATGCAGCTAATGTGAAATCAATGAGACAAGTATTGTCATCTGAAAGAGATATTATCATAACTTATGGGTGTGCTGCTCATATGCTGAATCTTTTAGCAAATGATCTTAATATTGAAAATGTGAGCAAGCATGTTACACAAACAATAAAATATATAAGAAATAATCATCAAGCTGGGGCAATTTATATATTAAGCGGAGGAACAAAATTGCCATTTAGTACTGAAACTCGCTGGAATTCTGTATGTGATTCACTTGAAAAATATGACAACAACTGGAGCATTATTTTTACAATGTTTGAAAAAAATAAAGACTTGGATCCCGTGATTGGTAAAAAAGTAAGTGATATACAGATAAAGCAAAACACAGAAGATTTATTGAAAATATTGAAACCAATTGCAGTAACTCTAGGTAAGTTGCAAAGAGATCAAACAAAAATAAGTGACTCTTGAAATTTTTAAAGATTTGATGAACAGTTTATCATTTAAAAAAAAAAACTGAATCTAGATACCTTCAGACTGTCAGTGATGCTCATTTCCTGGCAAACACACTAGATCCTAGATATTTTGGATCTAATCTTTCTAAAAATGAAAATGAAGCTGTCATGAATTTCGCAGATAAAGAGTTCAAGAATTTGTAACCAATATTACTCAAATTAAAAGCCAAATCTACTATAACATAATGGAAATTGAAGGTTTATTAAATGCACCAGCTTCTAGTGCTGGAATCAAAAGAATTTTTTCAATTTTTGTCTTGTTCATTCTTAGTTAAAAAACCGATTGGGGTAGAAAAAGCAGCAAAGCTTGTATTTATATATAGAACATTAAACAATAATATATTTAATAATTTTGATGAAATATAACATTAATATTGATAAAGAATATAGTTTACTTAAATAAAATACGTTATGTTTTTTTTTAATTTAAAAGGATAACTAAATTCCGCATTTTTTAGTAAAAACCTAATTCAAACCAAAAAAACCATGGTTTTTTTGGTTTTTTTAAAAAAACCTATGGTTTTTAATTTTTTTCAAAAAAACCGTTTTTTTTGCAACCCTGGTATTAAATAAACATTTTCATTTAATAACTTTTTCTCAATAGCCATTTGTTTCTTTCTTAATCTTTCTTTTTCTATTTTTGAATTTTTATCTGCAGCTAATTGTTTCTTTCTTAATTTTTCATAATTTATTTGTGACTTTCTTGCATTTTTGTCTTGTTTGAATTTGCTGCCACGTTTCAAATTTTACAACCGATGGTAAACCTTCTATTTTGCGCTTGGACGTTTGGACTGGTTGTTTTGGCCATATTAAAACACTTTCAATTGGACTTATGATTTCTGCTGCTATTTTCAAACTAGAACAAGCTGCTTTTGATTCTATATCTGCTGCAATATTTCAATCAGGTATTTACATACTGGTTATAATTAACTACATGTGGTTATAATTTGCACATTTTCTAAATTACAAGTTGTTGATAGATTTTTATTACCCTGTAGTATTTCATCAGGTAAAATTGTGGTCTTATATGTTTCAGATGAGGCTCTTTTCCAAAAAAGATACAGCTGGAGATATTCAAGGTCACCTTTCCAACCTAAATGTTCGTCAGCTATTTTAAACTGCTCTAAAATACTTGGATCAATGAAGTTTTCAATAAAGTTTATGGGAGAGGAAGCTGATAAAGTCACACTTGATTGATTCTCTTCTAAAAAAGGAGTCGGAGCCACAGTTGACTCAGATAGTCTTTGAACAATTTTTGTGTAGTCCACACTATTAGCATCAAATGGAAATATTCTGGTATTTTTAAAACCACTTTTAACATTATTTGCCATAGAAGGATCAATTATAAATGAATTTAATGCTTCTGGTACATTTTCATTGTTTATTTCTTGTCCTTCATGGTCAATGCGCCATTGTCGGCATAAAGATTTCCACTTTGCTTTCATTGGCCCAAAAACTGCTACATCGAGCGGCTGCAAAATATGTGTTGCATTTGGGAACAAAGCAACAAGAATTATTCTATTTTTAGAGCAAAACTCACTAAGTTCGATAGAAAAATGTGACGCATGACCATCAAATAAAATAATAATTGGTAAAGGAATTTCTTCTTTTATCAAAAATGGATGAAAAATGTTTGTAATATACTCAAAAAAACATTCTGCAGTCATCCAACCATTTTCACTTTTTCCAATACTCCATCCTGATGGAACAGTATTAATAATTCTATTTGTACGACGAACATATTTAAAAATTGTTAATGGTGGAGCAAAAGTTCTGCTGGCATTTACTGCAAATAAAGTGGTGATGCTTTTTTTATTACTTCGAGCACTTTCTTCATAAGTATTTTTTCCTCGTTCACCAACTAATAAATTAGTTTTTGATGACAACTTAAAACCACTCTCATCCATATTGAAAACGCGCATCGAATCATTTAAATATTGAGCGTTTTCTCCTAAAAGCTTTGGAATTTCAGTAAACCAATCTCTTATGGCTTTTTCAGTTACTCCTCCTCTAGCTTGGTTTAAGTATTCAACTGGTTTTTGAGATAACTGTTCGTGACAGCGAAGAAATGCATAAAACCAACCTTTTGCAGGACAGTTGTTAGTAAATTGTGTTTTGTTGGAATTCAAGTGTTTTTGCACAGTATCTAATAGCTGTACTACAGACATAGCAAATTCCATTCTGGTGCATGTTAGTAACCACTTGACTAATTTATTTTCAATGTGTTCACCTAGTACCGATTCATAACCGCAGTGTTGTATCTTCAGAGAAGTTTTTCCAGATATTTTATCACGAAGCGTCTGATAAAGAATTCCAAATGTCTTGCTTGCTTTGTACACAACCATGCTTTTTTTAAAAGCATTAATAGCATCTCCTAATTGGCTATCTGTATATTGAAGTGTTCGTTTTGAGCTACAAACTTTTGTCTAATATTTTTGTCTTGCCATTGTAAAAGAATCTAAATGAAATTTTTATTTTCATAGTAAAAAAGAAACAAATTGATTATTTTTTGGGCATACGATATGTATGGAATGACATTTTTTTAGTTCATACTTATCGTACGTTCAAAAATACTAAATTGATACTATAATGATGAGTAGTTTTAATAATATTAATAATGATCCATGTTTTATTTATCTTATTAAATCAATTTAGAAATAAAATTTTATCTTATCTTCTTAAATTATCTTGTTTTATTTGAAATGCTTCTAACAGCTGGTACTTAAAAAAAAAGGATTTTCATAGGCTGACGTAATAAGCCCACTGAGTTTATATAAGTAACTATGTATTGCGGTTTCTATGTATTGTAATAGAAGTGCATGACGATGTTGTTGATAAACAAAATATATATGTAAAAAAAATAATTACTACTTAGTGCAAAATTTATGTTAGTATTTAAAACCTACGATAAGTGTCGACTCACGCTAGGTGTGGAAACAACCCTATAGCTTTTCAAAATAGTTGTTTTTAAAGTAATAAATAAAAAATGCAGAAAAGTTACTAATACAAAAACTTAAATATTACTTTTTAAAGCATTTTTTGAATTGCCAGTTGATACATATTATGTTTAAACAAACTAAAACTTTATGAATTTATAATAATGAAAATATATGATAATTTATACTTTTGTTTATTTATTTATTTATTTATTTTTTTTGCAAATAGTTAAGCATTTTAAACATCTTTTTTTTTCCAAGATCTTTTGATTAATTGATAAAAAAATGAGTTTTTAAACATTAGTTTAATTAATTATATATTAGTTGTTAAACATTTTTAGACAAACACACTCTCAAGTTAGGTGTTAACATTAAATAAATCCACTCTCAAGTTAGGTGTTAACAGTAAATAAAAAATAGAAAAAACGACTGAAAAAAATTTTAATTTTATGTGTTAGAAAAACTTAAAGGTATGAGAGAATTCCAAAGCACTGATGTTTGCAAAAATAACTAAATAAATTTTTTTTAAACATGCAAAAAAATGCATCAAAGGAGTAGACCAAGCTGTCAAACCCAAGTGAAATAAGGAAATAATTAAGAAGAGAGGAAGGGTAAAAAAAATAAAAAGATATATTAAACAGATGTTCAGAATAAAATAAAGCCATTATAGTAAAGCTTATAGAAAAAAATAATAATAGATTTCAGGGACCCTACACGTAATAGAACTTACACTCCTATTTGGTTTAGTTAAGGCGTTTTACAAATTACTCAAATTCTTTTATTTGGAATTAACATGAATTTGTCAGCATATTATGTCAAAACAAAAGCTTTAGATGTTAAAACTTTTTTTGCTTCAGGTTTTTTTAATACTTAAAGAATTTTCTTTTATATATATAACTTTTAAAAACCTTTACTACTCCTAATAGCGAACCTAAAGAACACAATTTTACTACTCCTAATAGTGAACCTAAAGAACACAATTTTGGAGATTTTAGATCACATTCATAGGTGTTAACAATAACATAGTTAAAATCTCTTGAGTTAAAGTTAACCCACTGTAGATTCTAGTTCTAATCAGTTTTGATGCATATTAACTATATATAGTTGTCAAAATACAATATTTTTTATCAATTTTTACAAAAATATACTAGAATTCAGACCAAGAAAAAGCTTATAATTAAGAAAAATTGCCAATAAACAATCAGAACAGATCATATAATTAAACAATCAAAACAGATTATATTATAATGTTCATTTCACCTATAAAACGTAATAAAATTTCAAACACACATATATATACACATACGCACACACACACACATATACACACACACACACACAGATATATATATATATATATATATATATATATATATATATATATATATATATATATATATATATATATATATATATATATATATATATATATATATATATATATACTTACAACATACTTACAACACAAAAATATTGCAATCAAAAAAATACTATAAATAATAAATGAACTTGCTTTTTATATATATTTTTTTGACTTAAGCAAAGTTTTTTCAACTGCAACACTTTGCCATCAAGTAAATTTTTCTTTGTGATTATGTTATTTTTAAACTTTTTATCTTCCTTGCTTTTTAAGACATTTATAAAAAATCAATAAACATAATTATTGGCGTGATTAGAGTTTCTTTTTTCTTTTTATCACTATTTTTTTATGATGGAGATTTTTATTCATAACGATATCAAACTTAATTTTTTCTCACTTTTTGATTACTATTCCTCCTGTGAACTAAAATCTTCCTACGTTCTATATGAGATCCATTTTTTATTTTTTTTTCAAAATATTTTCCGAAAAATTACTCATGCAGCAATTTTGATTAAACTGAACTGAATTTAATTTTTTTATTTTTTCTTTTATTTATTTCTTTTATTGTTTTTTATAATTTCTTCTTGCTGTTCACAAGAAAAATCTTTGAGTTTTCTTGAAAAGTCTTTTTTTTAAGTAAAATCCAGTTTTGTGGATATGTTGAAGTTTTTCAAAAGTCAAATTTTGTTGATATTACTAAAAAACTAAAAGTATAACTTAAAAATAAAAGTCTTGGGTATGATATATGATTTTTTAGAACACTATATTGTTTATTACAAAACAGAATACCATAGTGTTTCAATAAATTATGAAAATAAACTCAATTGCAAAAAAACAATTGACCAAGTTTAAAATACAAAAAAAAAAAAAAAACAATTTGAAGTCATTTTTATCATTATATTTATAAAATCTATTTTAGAAATAATTTAATTAAGAGAGATCTGGAGAATTTATTTGTAACCGATTATAAAATAAAAGATTTCAAAATAATAAATGTCATTTATTTAGTATATATGTTGAAAATGGGAATACCATTACTGGTCAATAGTATACCAACTGTTTAAGATCTCTTATGCTCAAAATAAATAAGCAAAGGTTGTAACAGAAATCTAAAATTGATTTGTTCTCAATTTGAAAAATACTTTAATTAATAACATGATAACATGATAACACTTCATTCCATAAACTTAAAGTTTAGTAAAGCTAGTAAAAATTAAGAACCTTTGATAAATTCAAGTTTAATAAATTCTATGTGTAATACTAAATAGTGTTTGGAGTTTGAGTTGAGAAACAACTTCTTTGTAGGAAGATGCATCACCAAAATACTTGTTATAAATTATTTTGATTTACAGATTACTAAAATATAGCACCTAGCAATTTAATTGCTCCAGATGACTTTCTATGGTTTTACAATTATGTATTACTTTTAAATTACTTCAACCTTTCAACTCAAATCACTATAAATCTGATAAGAACTTGAACAGGTTGAAAAAGTGGATCAACTAGTTTTTTAAGATGACATGGAAGAGTACTTAAATTAGATTCAATAGATAGGTTTGATGAAAAATTGCTTACAAATAGTTCTACTTTAGAAGAGTTAATAAGATCAAACCCATATATGAGATGCAGAATGCTAACCTTTAATAATGTCATTGTTAAGTTTTTAAAATTAAATGCTTGATTTTTGAAAAGCCTCTGAAAAATAACTTCTGAGGTAAAATACAAAAGATAGTAAAAAATAATGGACCTAAAGGAGAACAAGAACTATCATATGTTGGAACTATCAAGTGTTAGTGAGATCATAGCATGATCTAAAACACCTAAAGGAGAACAAGAAGAAACTGAACACAAACTAGGTTCAGAGATAAGACACAAATCAAGGAGTGAAACTAAGTGATTAGAATCGTCTTAATAATAAGCGTGTGTAATAAAATGAAATTCAGATTTCTTATGGAAGTCATATTTCTATTTGGTTGCTGTTGATGCATTTTTTATATAGTTAATTTTGTATAACAACAGTACTGATTTTATTAGAGTTTATCATTTAAAAGGTAATACTTAGCCACAGTTATGGCTATTAATGCTATTTTAAGCTGTAATAAATTAATACTAGAATAGGCCATAGTATACAAATTTAATTTTATTATTTAAATATGTATTGACCCAAAATATGATTTCTTATTTTATGTATGTATGTTTTATAAACTGTAGATGTACTTTGAATTGCAAATGTTTTCTTGCACTACTTTTTGTTTTTATTATTAATTATCTAAATCTTTATCTAAAATTATTTACATTAATACTTAATTATTTAAAAAAAAAAGATAGTTGAAAATTTGATAAAAATATATTTTAAAAATCATGTACCTCTGTGTAACTAAGGAAAGTATCTGGTTGTTTAGCAATATAAGTTTAAATTATAAATTTTGCAGCTTCATATCGGTACTCATAACAAAGTTTAGTAAATATAGAACTCATAAAAAATCTGCAACTAATAAAATAGGTTGCTGCTATGCAAAATTAGATATTCATAGCAACCAATAAAAAATATCCCTTATAAAAAGGGCAAACCTTATATTAATGCATAAAATAATTAAAATGTTTATTGTGCACATAAAAGATGTACAACTAACTAAGCAAAATTAGATATCCATAGCAGCCAAATATAAAATACTTCACCTTCATAAGAAGTTTGAATCTCATACTAATGCACATACTAAATACAGAGTATATACTACACATAATAGATCTACCAAATATAGATTGTTAGTTTGCAAAATTAGGTATCCATAGTAACCAAAACTAAAATCATCACTTTCATAAGAAGGGGAGACTAAAATAAGTAATGCTAAGGGGTAATTACATGTAAAACTAAGACAAAAAATTGAAATTTTTCAGTCACCCTCTTAGATTTCTTTCAAATTTTACCCAGTTGCACATAACAATGAAACATGAAAAAATGTAAAGTTTAAGCTCACAAAATCCAAATTTTTTTTTTTGTTTTTTTTATTTTAATTCACCTCCTCAAGGCCAAGAAGGCCACTACAGACAAGGAGGCTACTTATTTGTGTCTATAACCCTCTCTCAGCTTTATAACTCCGAAACACGAACCTTGACAAACAAGGCCACTGCGCAGAGACAAGTTGAGCGCGGTACTACCAG